ACCATTAAAAGCTGTGCTTGCACAGGTTCTGCACGATCCTCTTCACTAATATTGTCTGCGTCTCAATCGGGCTCAAACTGATATTAAGCGATATTAACAACGCTGTTGTTTACAATACAACCAGAGCACATGCCGCTGAGGAGAGGGGCGGGACGCTTAGATGCGCACTAGAGGCGGTTTAGCCAATCACAACACACTGGGCTAGCTAACCAATCAGAGCCCATCGCGTATTTCTGAGGGAGGGGCTTCATAAAAGAAGGAAATGATCAGCGTGTTTCTCAGAAAAGGGACAGAGCGGTGTGGAATAAAGGTAAATTATGTGAAAAATAATGCATTTTTTAAAAAACAAAGCATTAACACATGCTAGACTGCACCCCATAAACACAATCAAGCCTAGAAAAAAACCAGTGAACCACCCCTTTAACTAATGTTAACAGAAACGACTTTAAGACAGAGGAAAATCATGTACACTACTAATACTTGCAAAAGTATCAAAAATAATTTTGTTAACGTTTCAGTTTCATGACCTTCATCAGATATATATTGACTTCAGGTGTGCGAGAATTGATTGTCAATTGAACAGAAAAAACTTTAACATTTATAAATGTATTAGTAATAGGAAATGTTGAAATAAAAAATAAAATAAATAAAAAATATGGCAGTCACACACAAGGCAAAAGCGCAGCATCTACAACTCAAAGATATCACATACACCGGAGCCACAGAAAGACAAACATGTCGCTGAAAAATACACAATACACAATTTTACAGCCTAGGGTGAAGACATTATGCACTTTAACAACAATTTGGGACAAATATAATGTAATTTAATGGAAAACTATGTGAATGGCGCTGTGTTGTGCAGCAGAATTTTCTCACATCAAAACAAACAACACGAGGTGTCAGTGATTTCTGCCTCTAGAGGCCGCTCTTACACTGTATAATGACAGTGGACCTTCTCAGCCGCTCCAGCAACAGACGCAACCCAGAAAAAAATATCAGCATGGATTTTTGCCGATAATCGATAGTTCTGGAAATCAACTATCAGTGCTGATTAATTCCTAAAACCGATATATCGGTTGACCTCTAATATACACATCATATATAGCACCTTTAAATATATAAAACGACATAAATGGACAGTGGCTGTCAAGCGCCAAAAAGGGAAAACCTGAATGACATTCCAAACCTATTCTCTCTGTAGGTTGTCTGGCTGTATGGTGACAGAGGAAGGCTGTGGTTATTTGTCTTCAGCTCTGAGTTCAAACCCCTCACACCTGAGAGAGCTGGATCTGAGCTACAATCACCCAGGACACTCAGGAGTCCAGCTGCTCAAACACAAACTGCAGGATCCAAACTATAAACTGCAGATACTCAAGTATGTGGGCTAGTTAACTCGAGTATCTTTTGGCATGTGATCTTTGTTTAGAATTATTATATATATATATATATATATATA